ATATGATTTCGATGTACTTACGGAGTAGTCAAACGGGTCCCGCTCGAAATTCGTGCCAAAGTTGCCTACAGACTCAATTTTTTCCAATAGTAACCTCGGATATACGAGGAAATAAAATAAAATCTCGAGGGAGAAAGTGTCAACAATAAGAAAATATTTTGTGGGAGTAGATTTCTAATATTGAAGTAGGGAACAAAGTCCCACGTGAAAGGAAAGCTAGAAGAAACCATCCAAACATTTGGTATTTAAATATATTTTGTCCGCGTAAGGGTGTGTCTGGCAATGTATTTATTACACGAGTAAATGAGTGATGAAAAAGTGAATTATAGTTGTGAGCTCTACAAAATGTGTGAATAGAAGTAGTTTGACCAAAAGTGTTTTTTTTTAACTCGCCCCTCGTGTGAATGTATGAATCATTTTCTTTTCTTCATATGCTTAACAAGTGGGAATTCATATAAATTGATAGAGATAAAACTGTCTCTCCTTTACAGCTACCATATTTAAGCCCATGTTTGATGTCATTATTTTGAGAAAATAAAGTTTTGAATATGTTTTTCTTTTAAATGTGTGATTAAAAAGTGGAGAAAAATTTTGAGCTTACGTTTAAAATATTTTATTATGTAAATGTATAATTGAAAATGAGTATGAGAATTAAAGAGTTTTAAAATAATGATTGTCAAATAGGGGCTATGACTGAAGGCAATTAATTAGAAAATTGAATAGAAATCACTGTGGAAAGATGATTTTGCAAAATTAGGATTAGGGTTTGTGGCTTCTTTAGAGGGTAGGATGAAAGTGGAAGAATTGGTAGATTTTGACAATTGCAAATTTCAATCATCTGCAGCTTCAAGCAAATGAATTCCTATGCTCTGGTTGAACAACCTACATATTAATTCAATTTGGATTAGTGATTAAATGCCCAAACAAGAAAAGAATATAAAATCAAGTAGACTTGATGTAGAATGTGGATAGATCACATACCTAGAGATGGCAGGAGCGTGGCGGGGTGGGTACGGGGGGCGGGCTTGCCCCCTTTTTTTTTCCCAAAAAATTTCAGTTAAAATATAAATTTTAAATTTTAAAATCTAAAACAAATAATGGTCAAACCAACTATATCAATATCGAAAGTAAGCAGTCTAAACAAACAATGTCCAAACTTGAACATTAGATTTTTGTACTCTGCCCTGCCCCTCTCCGAGACCCAAGACTGGGTGGCGATCTCTGCCCCGCCCCGCCCCGCCAACCTGTCGAAGCGAGGCGAGGAGGGGCGGGTTTTTTTGCCATCACTACACATACTAGAACTTCAAAATTATGTTTGATGCATTGGACTAAACACGATAACATAGAGAGATGAATATACATACCAAGCTCCTTCAAAGTCGAAGGAAGAGGGCCTCTTGATTAGGATGAACCAAGAACTTCCTCATAAAATTGCACAGATTTCTTGACGGATTTGCAAACGAAAGATACATGATTAACGAAAAGAATTTCAATTTCTTTGCTTCATTAGTACATGCAGCATGATTCATAGGTTTTATGATGAAAAACATGAAAATATTATATACTCCAACTAATCTCTTTAGCAGTATCACTAGAAAATCTGATTAAAATTTAA